CCGTCGCGGTCTGCTCCTGCATCGGACTGGATGAGGGGAGAGCTATGTGAGAGGGGCCCGTTTTGGTTGTAGTGGGGGGGGGGCGTGTGTTGTGTCTCTGTGATACCGTAGTGCTTGAAGTTCCCGCAATCCCGTGCTGTTGTGTATTCGACCTATTTAGTGCTTTACGAATGGAAGCACATAGGAAAGCAGCAGGAGTCCCCGTGTGCACAAGAAGATCGCCGCAAGCGGCCAGTTGCGTTCCTGCGTGGCGAAATCTTCTTGACCATATTGAGCAGCTGTGTTCGAATACTCGAACCAGGTTTGTACACCGTGACGGTGCAGCACACGCGTGGTTCATTTATGGCACTCGTCTGATTTTTGTGTCGTTGAATCTGCTTCACGTTCGCTGCCACTCCCAACAAAATCGTCCATCAGCCACCTACCAAGCGGAGCTTTCCCCCACCCACAACGCGGACGAGGACACGAACTTCGACATGGTGTATGGCATCGCCCCTGTGCTCAACGTGCTGAGGAACAATCGGCGCGAGAAGCTCGGACTGTACTGCCAGGATGGATTGGCGCCGGCGAACAAGAAGGACCGCGCCGCGGCGAACCGGATCTACGACATCGCCAGAGAGACCGACGTTCCGTGAGTCAGCGAGGCGCACACATTTTAGCGAACTACACATATCGTCAGTTAGTTGTGTAGGGCGGCTAGAGCAGAGCCTGCTTTTGACGGCGTGCGCATATTGTACTGAAGCGCAAGAGGCGGGGTGACAGATCTGCCAAAAACATGATTCTGCCGCCCTCAACGCGCATGTTTGCACCACTTCCGCGACAGGCTACAGTACAGACGTTTTGGACGTGGACTGTTATGGACCGAAAACACAACACTTGTAAATCTGCTGCTATAGTCCAGTGCTGCTCAGGTTCGTCCTCCTCACAGCATTGTTTCATGTCGTTTTTCACGTGGAATCTCTTTGCTCTTCTACTCCGACCGGCGTCCGCAGGATGACCACGACCGACAAGGGCTACCTCAACACGCTCTGCGGGAACCGCCCCCACCAGGGCTTCATCCTCAAGGCGCGCCCTCTCAAGTTCGAGCCCATCCTCTTCCTGCCGCGCGTCGAAGACGTCGAAGCCGACCCCTCGGTCGAAGCAACAGCAACAGAGGCAGACGCCGAGACATCGCCAGAACACGACGACGATGACGACGGACAAGAAGAGGACCGTAGTGCTGCTGCCGCACCCAAGAAGCCCCCGGCGCCCTTGGCAGCGGCCGCCACCGGGCAGGTCTGGCTGGCGCTGGACGAGGTCACGGACCCCCAGAACTTCGGCGCGCTCCTCCGCTCCGCCCACTTCTTCGGGGCCTCGGGGGTCGTCGCGTGCGCCAAGAACTCGGCCGCCCTCACGGCAACCGTGAGCAAGTCCAGCGCGGGCGCCGTGGAGGTCATGCGCGTCCACTCGACCGCCAACATGATGCGGTTCCTGAAGCGGAGCCGGGAGAACGGGTGGAGGGTCGTGGGCACCTCGGTCAGCGAGAGGTCGGGGCCGCTCCACGAGCTCCCAGCGGGCCCGGGGGCCCCGCCGACTATCGTAGTGCTCGGGAACGAGGGGTACGGCGTGCGCACCAACGTCCTGAGGGAGTGCGAGTTCTTGGTGGAGGTCGCGGGGGACGGCGGGGGCGCGCTGGCCGAGGGGGCGACGCCTTCGACGGTTGACTCGCTCAACGTTAGCGTCACCGGGGGGGTTGTTCTGTTCCATTTGCTCGCCGGCGCGAAACACGCCGCGGCATACGCAGCTTCTTCGGAGTGATTCGCGTGTGCGATTCTTGAATGAAGTAAAGCGGCTCGGATGTGATAATGTTTTTGCACAAAGTCAAGGGGATATTTTGGTTGTGATCATGATTTTTTTTTAGTGTTGCGTGCTGCTGCTGCTGCGGCTGCTACGGCTGCAGCGGGAGAACATGGCGGACGCAGCTTGCACTTCATGTGCGTGATGTTCCGTGTAAGCAAACGGCGCCAAAATCCCGCTAGACACATGAACAGTAGTGAAAACGAAATTGTCTGTGCAAATCCAAATCGTCGCCACTCAGGCATACGGAAACAAAGACTCCGAAAAATGTGAAACGTATTCGACAAAACACGCGCTCGACGCCGTAATCAAATCAAACGTGCGGAAGGACAGTCTATGCAAGCCGGTATGATATTTTCCACCGACGCATAACCCAGTGCACTCCAAACTCTTTGAATCACAGCGGGCGGCGCGCAGTTTTTTGTTCAAGGGAGGCTACACCCACGCTTCCGTGATGCTGTAGTTCATCAGCAGCTCCTTGTTCACGTTGAAACACTGGTGTGATCGGGGCACGGAACGAGTACGGGGAGGGGGAAGGGAAAGATCATTGCTGCGTCAGGACACAGACGAGAAACCACAACATTGTTGCCTGTGCCACCCTAACAAAAAATCAACTCCGTTTGAGCTACAAGCGAGCTGTACCGTGGCTCGAGGTGTCAATTTGCAAGCACCACGGCTACTACCATGGAACGCAAAGGATCCATCTAGAAACAAATTTGATCGCGAGAAACGTCTGCGAAGGGTGCTCACCTTGTATAGGTCGGAAAGGCTCTGGTCCGGGCTAGGCTCGAAAGCGCTGTTGCAGTACAGGAACTGACGCAAGTTGATCGTGACAGGATGGAGGGGAGGGCAACAAGACCGTCTCAATAGCGGTCAACACAAGCATAATGGATCTCGGCTATTGATGTACCTCGCACACCTACGATCCAACTACACCGCCCGCGCCTCAACAACCTAAACGACGGTGTTGTAAGCGTTTGCGTCATTTAAGGTTTACGATGTAAAAGCACGCGCCGTTGCCACCACATTCCAGAGCAGCTCTTATGCAGCAAAGTCTGCGCAACCACCGCTTGTTGTTGCCCAACGTTATGATTCACACGTGCTCCAGAAGCGCTCTTCGCTATCTTCAAGGCAGTATCCCCAGCGCTCCTGGCGGGTCTCCGGAAGAGGGCTACGCCTTTGTTGTCAACCACGCTCACCAGGGGAGTTGTATCCGAGATTTGGAGCATGCTTCGGAGAGACGCTTCCAGCTAAGCACGGTGGTATCGTCGTTCGTAGATGCCGAAAGGTGGAGGACCAGAAACAGCGGAACCGATAGGGCACGAGACACAACGAGAGGGAAGAAAGAGTAAGTGAACTCGAAAGATAGTCACCATTCATGACTGATGTCAGACATTACTAGACACTTCTATTCGCTGAACGGAAAGTGAGGTATGATGCGTCCAGTTTGTTTCTTGGGGGCCTCTCTCGCACTTTAGAGTTCCAAAACAAGGTCTTCTGCTGTGCACAGATCACTTTGCCGCCCGAAGTAGAACACGATGCACGCCCGAAAACGCTTTACACCGTACCTGGAAGCTAGCACACGTCCACGTCTTACACATCTGACGAGCTACAGCAAATGTTCGTGCTCCATCGTTCTACGCACAAAGAGGAGGCCGCCATGTCTTCGAGGGCCAAGAGGTAGTTGGTCGTCTTCCATTACGCCTCTCACCTCCGAACAGTTCCAAGCGGAATTCACCTGGAACTTGCTCTTCCTGAGGATGGGGGCGTTTGCGATCGGCTTGAAGTGCACCTTGACTGCGCGAGATAGGCAAGCACCCACCCGACGGGGGGGAGGCGAAACACCAAACGCGGGAAAGGAAATTCGACATTCAAAAGCAATACGCTCCACGGCCGTGACGCCTACACATAAGCAGGCGAAGGCAGGGCAGCAACAGACCCAAGGCAAGTTGCTGCTGGTCCATCGGGGTGCGGCTTGCAGCGACTGCGTGGACTGCACTTACAAAAAACAGCGCACAACACAGGGCAGGACACGCTCCAGAGGGTTTCGTACCTTTCTCAGGCGTTGCCGGCGGGGGGATTCGACTCGTTTCCCCTCGTTCAGGGACAGATACATCCATGATTCCAATCGAAAGTCGTTCTGCCGCTGTCGTTGTCGCTGCCCCCGCTGTTAATCCTCTAGCTATAGAGCAGAGGGCGCCCCCCCACCTTGGTAGGCCGGGTCGGCGAGAAACGCGCGCCGCACCTGCAGCGCCCTTTCAAAAAGGTGTGTGTCCAGACCGTCAACGTTGCGGCACACGCGGGCTTTCACCTTCTTCCCGCTAGGACCGTTCTGCATAGGGATGGGGGGGGGAGCATGACGTGATTACTTGATCCTTGCAGTCAAATTGTTTGTCCGCTCTACTCGTCTCAATTCGGACGGTGGGGGCCGGCTATGGACCACGCATCCGTTTAGAGACGGGGGTGGTCGGCCGGCAAGGGCAGCCAGCGGTGTTGTGATGAGTGTACGAAGACTGGACGCCGATCCGATAGAAAACAAGCGTTTGACTTGTTCAACTCATGCACGACCAGCTACAGTAGCAGTGATCGAAGTCCAAGCTTTCGGGGTGCTTGGCTTTCTGGGAAGAACCTGGTCTACACTTGATGGCTTGCTATTGGTCCTGCAGCTTCGTCGCAAACCAAGGCGCCCTTCTTGGCTACAATTTCTTGTCAAAATTCACTCCGGCCAAGATCAATGAATACCATCACACCGTGTCGTTCTTTCTCTCGCTCCGTCTTTTTGGTAGTCGCTCCCTCGGTTCCGTCCCGTACCCTCTCCCCTTGCCTACTCGCTTGCCTGAACCTCGCCGATGAACTCGTAAAGTGAATCGATCCTGAACTGGAAGTCCGTCAGCAGACACGCGTCGATCGTGAGCTGATCGCCTTTGTAGTCAACCACAGCCACGTCCGCCGCCGCGTCGTAGCTCTTCAGACTACCGAGTGGCGACGGAAAGACATGTACGGTGCCGTCCGTAAGGAAAACTGTTGATGAAAGATCTACGCTTGGTTTCTTGAGTCCTTTGGAGAATGGTGCCTCGCACTTGAAATGTACTCTAGCCGCCTGCGCCACAGCTCTCGTCAATCATGCATGAGGTCTCATGTTGATTCCCCAGTGGTCTGCTCGCAGTCTAACTATCGTTACCTGGTGCCCTGCTGTCAGCCTATGGTAAGTCGTCTATCGAACATGGCGAAGCTCGGCGAGCGAATATTTGTTCAGAAAGACGTGTTGCGACGGTAAAGCTACCTATCGTTCAAATACAACAAGAGGCTCGTAATTTACACCACACAACGAACATCACCAGCCAGCCATGAAGGGCCAGCTGACCGCTACAGAACGGGACCGCTACAGAACGGGTCCGCAACTAAGAAAAAATCTGTTGAGAAAATGAGGCTCAAATGTTCACGAAAAATAAGAAAAAAGGATTAAGAAACACAGCTCAATCTCGGCCACAACATAAGAAACGTCCCAATAAGAAACCCGACCGTGCGATGCCCCCAACACATAAGAAACAAGGGGTAGCTGGGGAGCGTGTCCAATAAGAAACGTCCCACTGCTGCTGCTGCGCTGCTGCCATGCTCCCACCCCCTACCTACAGCATTTGTTTTTTGTAAAGGGGGACAGCAGTGGTGGTTTTCGCGGCGTCCCCCGCGCCCCCGCGCCGCTGCGGGCTGCGCTACCCACTGCTGCTGTACTGCTGTACCGCCACACATCGCAGAGTACCACATGCTGTCCGCTGTAGTACGGGTTTGATGGCACTCTCCGCCGCCTCCCTCGAGGACTTGAACAAGTTGCTATAATAGCCCTCAGAGATCTTCTCCAGATAAGAAAATACGAAAAATAAGAAAATAAGCAGGATGCGACAGCCCAAAGGAATAAGAAATCCGTTGTAAGAAAATGGACGACTTCGGCTGGTCCTTCGACCCAGAATAAGGGATTGAGGCTGGACCCGATTTTGACGTTTCTTATCTCCGGCCCGTTCTCTACTGCTGTGTGAGTGTGTGTGTGTCTTTATTATGTACAGTAGCATCGACCGCGCCGTGAGTGTGTGTGTGTGTGAGAGAGAGAGAGAGAGAGAGAGAGAGAGAGAGAGAGAGAGAGAGAGAGAGAGAGAGAGAGAGAGAGAGAGAGACAGACAGACAGAGACAGAGGAATAAAGAGAAAGAGAAAGAGTGCTTCTTTCATACTCTTCTTCTTCCCGTCTGTCTACGTATGCCTCCATATCTGCCTCTATTTTCCCCTGTCTTCTCCTCTGTCTTTGTACATATGCAGAGCGATTCCTCTCCACCTCTCTCTTTGGTACTACTGCTGTAGACTGAAGACCGTCGGCAAACTTCAAACGAAGCCTATATTTTACGTTGTCCCTGTAAACCACACACCTTCCCAGCACTCGCACAGAGCCGGTTACTCCATCTCGCAGGATCTCGCGCACAAGGTGTATCTTGCCCGGCTGTATCGTCAGGTCCGTTAGGTCCATCTAGAAGAGTGCGAGCGAAGAAGAGGTGTATTCAGGCACACGATGTAATAATGCCTCTTCGCATTTTTGCACGAAAAAGAATGATCATATGATCATCAGGTACCCCAGCCCCCCCCCAGGGACTGTCAGCTCTGTCCCTGTTACGCTTGAGGGAGCAGACCTCCGCAGGACCAGGGTACAGCAGCAGAAGTCAGAAAAGGCGCGCTCCCACGCACGCGTTGATACCGCCTGGATTCCGGGCTTCGTAGCAGGGGGTCTCGTTGCGCTTCTGTTTCAGCGCTGGCTGGCAGCGCGAAACGACCAAAGCCTGCGGTGATCGGGCAGGAGCAGCGAACATGCTCGTCGAGTTTGGTGAAGATGGCGCTCTTCCCCCGTTGAGCGAGGAGCAGAAGGATGCCTTGGCCTCGACGGCGCAAGCGTTGGCGACGCGTGGGAAGGGTATCCTGGCTGCAGATGAGTCTACTCCCACGGTGCGAAAGCTTCCGGGTGTTGGGTGTATTTTCAAAAGAACGCAGTTCATACATTGCATGGTCTTGATTATTGTTGTACAAGCCGCGGGCGGGTCAGGTACGCACGCGTTTTTCTTTTTTTTTTAACAGCCGTACTGCGGAGGCCACCGTGGTCATGAGGATCGAAGTCTCCTTGCCGTGAGACTTACACATGGGGCAGACTATCGATGGTCTGCCCCGATTGCCCCATGTGTAAGTCTCACGGATAGTCTAGACTTCGATCCTCATGACCGGGGTGGCCTCGTTTGTAAATGGGCGTGTGTCCCTCTGCTGAGGCATATCATGCGCGAAAGCCTGCTGAAGAGAAAAGGATAAAGAATGTGCGATGCGCACACGAAAAGTAGACAAAATAAACTTGTTTGAGGTACGGAGGAGTCGCGGACCGTCGCGGGGTGGAGTTCGGTCCCATGGTCTTCTGGTGGGTAGCGCCACGTATGTATGCTCACGGACAGCCTCATTACGTACCTACAGCCTCGTTAGATTGTACTTCTACAACCTGAAGGGTCTTCGGACTTTTTACGGCATGTCTTGTCTTGAAGGGATTCGGGGAGTTTGGTGGGAGCATGCTTAAGACGTGCAATGAAAAAGGATTGAGGTAAACCGGGATTCCGCTGTGCGTGGGCTCCTGCTGCAAGTATGAGCGGGGTAAAACTAAATGTAGGGCGGACATGCCTGGATTTCGCTACCGCGGCTGATGCCTCCGCAGTCGCTACTAGGCAGGAAGAGGCCTTGTCCGTTGAGTGCTCCTTCTGAACCCAAACGTTTTGCAAGTCAAAATCATCGAGGTGTTTACACCAAAACACCTCTTGCATCAATGTGGTTGAACGTGGACGCCTCTATTCCAGATCCGAGCAGTTATGACTGAAAACGCGCGAAGAGTAATCATTGAGATTTCTAGCCCCCCCTCCCCACAAACCACGCCTTTTGTTCTCCATCCCCCAAACAAGATCGGCAAACGCTTGGAAGCCGCGGGCTTAACCAACGATGCGGAGACTCGCCGCCGCTACCGCGAGGTCCTACTCGCCCACCCGCAAATCGGGGAGTGGCTGGCTGGAGCCATCCTGTTCGAGGAGACCCTTGGCCAGGCTAACTCGGACGGCGTCGCCTTCCCGCAGGTGTTTGGTGCTACACGCGGACAAAGGAACCGAATTGGCGCTCGGCAAGAACGAGTGCGACCAGCGCGCTCGGCCTCTCTTCAAAGCTGCTGTTGTAGGGATTTCTCTTCTTTGTCTTAGGGCCCACGTTGCATCTGTCTCTGTTGGGTTTCGACCCCCGTTGATTGGCGCTAGCGCCCAGGTGCATGTATGATCACATTTTGCGAAGCTCTCGCATGCTCCGAGTCTAGGTGCTCCCCATATGGTGGCTGATGGAGTATCACTCGCCATCAGAGGCTCGCCGAACTAACTTTACTCATTTCTCATTTCACATGCCGAACATTAACAGCACGCGAAACTTCTGCACGACTTGCATCTTGTACAAAGGTATGGCGGGCAATGATATGCGGGATCATGCCATGTGCTACGTATCAACCACGCAGGTGCTCAAGGACAAAGGGGTGCTGACAGGTGTCAAGACGGACAAGGGCCTCGCCCCGATCCCCGGGAGCCCTAGGGAGACCACCACGCGCGGCATGGACACGCTGCTGGCGAGATCCAAGGGCTACTACCAACAGGGCGCGCGGTTTGCCAAGTGGTAGGAGAGGGCTTTGTCTGGCGTTTCGCAGGAACACCGTGGGGTTTTAGCGGGGTTACGTGTCGTTGTGCTCATGCAATTTGTTTCTCGCCCTGTCGCTCACGTTTCTCTATGAATTGGTTGTATCTTCAACGCGAAGAACAGCACCTGGGCGGAAAGCAGTAAGGTGCCATGTCGAAGAGCGAGTTCCACTTCCCTCCGGCCATACAGGTTGCGCGAAGATAAATGAAAACCCTCTTTTGAGGACACATGCCGGCCCCTGACCTTGGGCTGTGTCAAAAATGATTTTACGTGCAACGTATTTTACCGTGAAGAACAACTACTGAAGCATGCCCACCCTACCAGTGACCCCCTATACATCGGCCCTATCCGCACAAATGCTCAGGCGAGCCACGATCCGAATCGACGCCGAGGCGGGGCTACCCACGCGCGGTGCTATCCACGCAAACGCAGTCGGCCTGGCTCGGTACGCCGCCCTTTCTCAGGCCGCTGGCCTGACCCCCATCGTCGAGCCGGAGATTTTGATAGAGGGGACCCATAGCCCAGAGCTATTCGCGGAGGTGCGTGTGATACGTAAAGGGTAAGAAATGAAAGGATGAGAAAATAGTGTGAACGTCGAGATTTTTTGGCTAGCTTCGTTTTGGGGATCATTCAAGTGTAACGGCAGGATTACAGAGAGAGATAGGCGAAGACAGAGACAGAAAGACAGGCAGACAGACAGAGACATACAATGATAGAGGCAGAGAGAGAAAAACACAGAGAAGGGAGGCAAGTGAGGGAGTGAAAGAGGGAAGCGGAGAAAACATCCCTTCCGATTGGACGCCTGTTTGAGTCGGTGCGTAACGTCAGAGCCAATTTTGTTGGGTTTGGTTCCGTTGGGTGGGGACTATCCGTACGTGGTAGTGCCGGAGCCGACTGCCGCCAAAATCGCTCGAGCATGCAGCATGTTTTTTGCACGACAGCTGATTGTGCCTCTGTTGCTCCCCCCGCCTCTCTCCTCTTTCCGGCTGTTGACGCTCGCGGACGACCTGCTGCAGGTTAGCGAACGGGTGCTGGGTGCCGTGTACGGGGCTTTGTCGGAGGCGGGCGTTTTCCTCGAAGGGACGCTTCTTAAGCCTCAGATGATCATGGCCGGGGTTGATGCTCCCGAGAAGAAGGTGTGGGCTTTGCTGCTGCTGCTGCTGCTGCTGCTGCTGCTGCTGCTGCTGCGATTCTTGCTTTGAAGCGCACCGACAGGGAGAGAGGTTGTGGAGGCAGTAAGGGCGGAGGCAACTTCGCACTACATGTCCGGGCGAGCAGAACGGGCAAGGGTGCCAGCCTCCGAATACATCATGTTGCCCTTGGGTCTGCCCACCCCATACCTGTCTTCCCACGTCGCACGACTAAACTACCTGCGTGTCCCCCCCCGACCTGCACCGTTCGGGCTTAGTAGAAACGTGGAGACCTACCTCTACACGCGTACTACGTCTGGCTCTGACCATGAGTCTACCCCCCCCCCCCCCGTAGGTGGAAGTGGGGGATCGAGGAGCTTACGGTAGTGGACCA